TTGAAATTTTATATATAAGCTTCACTAGACCGATCGCGAAACCTCCTAACTTTTGGAAGATATCAGGCCTCAGCAACTGGACGTTTACTACGGGTCAAATATACATTTTTGCGTATATAAAGAGAAATAATCAACCGATTTAATTGAAATTTATTATTTGAATTCCTAGTATTAAAACAATGAACATATAAATTTTTGGAAAGATCAGGGCTCGAAAATTGATTTGCGGGTCGATTTTACATTTTTCACCATATCTACGGAACGAATTAATAGAATTTCTTGATATTTGAGTTCTGGTTGTTACCGAAACTAACGGGCTAGCATTTCAGGGAATTTGGGTAACACAAAGTGAAATTCTACTAAGAGCCAAATTTACATTTTCCTAGGTATGTTAACTATAAACTTGTTACCATTCGTCGAGCTCGATCAGCAATTTATGTGCACTTTTGAAAAATTAAATTGAAATAAATTTGGTATTTTTGTTACTTTTTTTAATAAATAAATCTCGATTAGAAAAAAAAACATTGAAATAATATTCAAAGTGTATAGCTATATTTTCAATTTATTGTCAACCCCACTACAAAATTTGGTCTATAACGAAAAATAATCTAAATTACGTTTAAAACTGGTATTACAATGTACGTTCTTAAATAGTTTTCTAGCCATTAATTCTAGCATTTAGTTAAAATTTAATTTTTTTTACACATAAATGTAGTTTTTAAAAATATTGAATTGTGCAAACTTTGTAAATGAATATGCATAATACAAGAAAATAAATGAAGAAAGTTGAAATGAAATGGAAAACTTACGCACAACTCGCGATAACTCCCATCTATATTACATTGCAGCGACGCAAAAAAAATTGATTACTGAAACACCCTGTCTTTAACTATCGATCTTTAAAGTGATGAAAGATTTACATGCATTATAATATGTATATATGTGCGTAAATTTGTATTGTATAACACGAAATATTCTTGTATTTTCAAGAGAATTTCGGTATTCATGATCTTTTGAACACGCAAGGTAGCAAGATTAAACGAGCGAAGCGAATGAAAATTTTCGACGTATATGAATTTTCGGTATTATGATTAGCGAATTCGCCTAAAGTTTAGGCGAATGAGCTGTCGAATGAAAATTCTATGTGACAAGCTTGGTGAATGAAATCAAAAATCAATATAATACATAAAGTTATTTTTTTTTTTTGGTATTATAGAATTTTAACATTATTATTTTCGAAAGGTTTTTTGAGCTTAATTGTTGTAATATTAATTAATAATAACTAGTTGAAATAATAGTAAATAAAATTTTCATTGGCACATCGCTAAAATGTGCAAAAAAGTCTCGTAAATAAGCGACTAATGTCACATATATCTGTCAGGCCACAGAGCTGAAATTATTTTCCAAAATTTTGAAATCGGAAAACAATTCGTAATGCTTTATGTGTTCGAAGTATTCCGAATGAAATATTTTTTATTTTTTTTTTTCTCACTTTATTTAGTATGGTTTTAAAAGCGATTTAGATTATGATATTTTTTATTTTGCTTTTTTTTTTTAAATTTCCTTTTTAACTCAATTCCTTATTCAAAAACTTTACTCATTAATTCAGTACCCTTCCATTTGGAACAGCAAAAAGGTTATCTATGCGAAAAATTGCATTTTTTTTTTAAATTTCATTTTTCAGATGGAATTTATTAATCGAGTGTTTTGAAGTTTAAATTTTAAATTTAAAAAATATTCAGTGCAGCTAAAAATATTGAGCAATTTTTTTTACACAAATAATTTCCAACACCTCTTCGATTTAAACTCCAATGAATTTGGAATTTATGTTCAATTTGCTCTCTGAGCTTTGGGCCTGATAGATTTATATAGCATTATAAGCAACTATCAGTTACCAAGCAAAAACGTCATCATTTATAGGAAAGGGAGGAAAAAGAGAGGAATATATAGGTTAAAAGAGGGAAGAGAAAAAAGGCATGTAAAATAAAATGACGAACACAACCGAAAAAGAATAAAAACAACAAAAAACAAAAAGACTAACCACATCCCGACCACTAAAAGTCTAGATCTAGAAAGGGTCTTGATCCTAGAACACTACCCTAGTACCGCAGGGTAGTGTTCTAGGGCCTTTATTGTTTTCAATTTATATGGAGGGAATAGATCAAGTTGGCATAAATGCAGAAATATTCCTTTTCGCTGATGACGTATGTTTGGTGTTTAATGATATCAATTATTACAGCTTAGAAAAGAAAATCAACGAAAACCTAGCAAAGTTAGTAGTTTGGATACAAAATCATAAATTGAGACTCAATATAAAGAAAACGAAATATATGATTATCAGTCCCACTGCCCCACCATTCAAAATCGTTATTTCTGATGAAATTTTAGAACAAGTGGAAAACTTTAAATATCTTGGTCTATGGATTGATCCGGCACTCAACTAGAAAATACATACACCATTTTTATTTAAAAAACTGCCGTCCGTTGCTGGTGTCTTCAAAAGAATTGCATACTTTTTGCCAAACAACGTGAAGACGTCCGTCTTTTATTCACTTTTCCACAGTCACGTGAGCTATGCTATAATACTATGGGATGTTTTCTCCAAAGAAAACAGCGACAAGCTTTAAGTCATTCAAAACAAAGCGTTAAAGAACTTGTTTTTCTATAATAGGCTTGAGCATACCGAATTTATTCATAGCCAGAATAGGATATTATTGCTACAAGATTTTATTAAATACAAACTGATCTTGTATATTCAAGATATCTCTAATGGCGAATTATATTCTACCACTCAACTTACGACAAGAAGTGATCATCATGAAATCAATACAAGAAGCAAACAACAGATTCATCTCGCCAAAAAGAACACAACAAAATTTGGAACATCAACATCAATCTATAACGCAATTAAATTATATAATGAAATTCCTGAAAATATGAAGACACTCGATAATTATAAACTAAAAAAGAATCTTCGAGAAACATATATTAATAATTATAGTAGAGTATCTATTAACTAATTTCTATTAAAACTAATAAATGAATTTTAGATTAAATTTTTTTTGCAAAAAAATTTTATAACTAAATCAACTTGAACAAAGTCTATATTTTTTTTTTTTTCTCTTTTATTTGCACTTTTGTTTGATACTTAAAAGTAAATGAAGTTTTTGTATACTTTATATTGTTTTTATAAAGCCTGTTTATGAGACTTGTCACTTTAGGCATTTTTGTAGTTGAAAATAAAATAAAAAAAAAAAAATATATATTAGGATCAAATACCAAAGAATTAGAATTTACAGAATGCAACATTCTAGTGACTGGGTCATTTCTACCCTAAACAACAAAATAGAAGTGGTTTGGTACAATGTAACAAAATCGCATTGTAAAAATTTAAACTGACAGCATTTTTTGTTTTTGAAATTTCTGACAATTTTTTCAAAGTACATATTTTAATTATTTTAAAATTGCCATACATTTAAATATTAAGGCAGCGAATATTGTTAAATTTTTAAAAAATATGTATAGCAAAAAACTTTTATTCAGGTTAAGATTTAATTATTGCTCTTGCTCAGCAAACCATTTCACTTATTATAACCTAAGTTTGTAAAGCTATAGATGAAAAATTAAGTCCCATAAAAAAATGAAAAGGAGCATAGTCGAGTAAAGAGAAGCGAAGAAACAAATTTGGCATAGTGCATGAATTTTACTTATCATGAACCGGAATGGTTTTGTATTTTATTTTGATTTATAATTATAAATTACACACATAGTGTCAAAATTTAAAATGCGAGAATCGTTTTGCAAAAGTAGCACTACATAGTAAACAACCACCTCTAAGATTCCTTACGTTATCCCTAATAGAAAACTGCCCCAACAATGAAGGAGCAACGATAGCCCTTAACACGAGCTGATGTCGGCTACAACCTTACGCGCCCTTAAGGACTGCAAATCTGAAATCTCACAATCTTGGAGCCATCGGCAGAACTATAAAGCATCGTTGGTGGCAACTAAAAAAAGTATAGAACTCAAATGAATACCCTTCGAAACAACCCACACGGCACAGTAGACAGTCGACAAAACCAAACAGAAGGAAACCTGATACAACCGGCATGTTAAATAAGAATAAACCCACATCAAGGCACAAAGAGAATAACCTGATGCGAAATGTCTTACTAACATCTGTAAAAATAACTTCGTGCTGACAACCCCGCTTCATAATATTAATGGCATAGACAAACCCAACCAAATTATTACCAACAAACTTACTCTTCTGAAAACCATGCCGGCAGGAGTAAATAAAAGGACCACAATAGAGTAGAAATAATCGACCAAAATGGCCTTAAAAAGCTTTGGAATAGCTGACATCTTAACAATAAGCCTATAATTAGTAACTGAAGAACGTATGCCTTTTTTATACACCGGATCAATATACGACTCTTTCCAACCAAAGGAAAAGCAGAAGAAATCAACCAACAGGCGCAACATCAAAATTCGAAAATGCAGCAAAATCTGACAAAAATAAAAATATTAAAATAAAAAGGAATTAAAATAAAAAATCAAACAAAATATATTATTGAAATTAAATATTAAACAATTATAGGTGCCGTCGACGACCCCAAACTCATGTATAAATTGAGACGCATGTTCACATTTGTACATATTTTCTTGAAAATTGCAAATAATTTAACTGTTTTGTTATTTTATTTTGTAGAATTATTTTTTATATTGCATGGAAGTCAAGAATGTAAACTGTTTTCAGAGAAGACCCCTAGACGATTTTTTTTTTTTGCAAAGCTTTTATTTTATTTCTTTCTTTTAATATTTTCTACTTGTTTTTCAATCTTAGCGTTTAAAAGTCTTAAGCAAATATTTATTTATCCAATGTTTCAATTAGATATTAAAAACTGTTATATTGGATAAATTTTGTATGATATCTTGAGATTATCTAACAAAAGCCAAAATATTCTTTAAATTACTGAAAATAAACATTTATTACTTTTTGTCTTAGAAACATTAATATTATTATTTCAACATTCATTTAAACTATTATTACTGTTAACTAAATTCAATATTTTGACACATTTGAAACATAATTGTGTTTATATAGAAGCTTTTTTAACATAATGAAAGTTCTACTTGTAATAATCTAAAGAGTGTAGCGTTTTCATTTTTGTTGATATTGCAAATTATAATATTTGATTTTCTTTTAAACAAGACCCGGTATCAGAAATGTGAAATTTTCGTAAATTTACTTAATTCAGCCCCACAATTTGGTAATAACGTAAATTAAAAATAAAGTTACACGTCTGATACCGGGTAGTTTAATTTAGTTACCCGTAATTTAATTTAGTTGCCTATTATAACGTTAATACAAACATTTAACAGAAGAAATTAGCAATTATCATTTCTGAGAAGTTGTTCAAGAAAAAAAAGTAATTGCTAAAATCTTGAAAATATATGTAGTTCATTATATAAAAATATTGTGTAAACTGCTTTTCAAAGCAATTTTGTTACATTCTATAGTTTATTTTAATTTAACGTCTATATCTCAACATTCATCAACTCATCTTAATTAAATCAGCTTCTTCCACTTTTTGAGCGCTCCCTTGACGAGAGTTTTAAACCATTTCTAAATGTTTCAATAACTTATTCAATTGTTTTTTAGAAATTATTTTTTTTAGGCAATTATGTAGTAATTTTTACTTGTAGAGTATCACTTATTTAACTTAAAAACTTAAAAATGACTAAAGATCTTGTAATAATAAAAGTATTTAACAATTTGGACAGTGTCATTGAAGCCATGTCTTTCCTTTTCATTATATATTATAGTTGTATTGAATACATGTGCATGTACTGAACCATTTGGGTACATGATAGTTATCATATTAATATTACGTTTATTTTTGTTTTTAAAATAAGATTTTCATCTATTTATCACTTTTGTCTTTAACTTTGTCGGTATTTCATCTAACAGCAAATTTTCATTTTCTCGTTCACTTATTTATTCATTTACTTTCTTCTTGTTCCATTGGTTCCTGGTTTCTACTGGGAGCTATATTGCTAGAATATAAAAAAAAGTCAAAATTAATGCACATAAAAATACTTTTCATGACAAAGATTAATTTATTTTATATAAAGGTAATGACTTTATTTTATATAAAGGATGAATTTATTTTATCAAAAGATGAATTTATTTTATATAAAGGTAATGACAAAGATTAATTTATTTTACATAAGGTGCTCGAAGATAATTCGGAAGCAGGGTGAAATGGGTCAGATGGACATATGTAAATTACTCGAGCATATCTTAGTGTTTTGACTCTCTTTCGTGAATTATTGGTGCTCAAGGTTAGTCTACCAAAACAAAAAGTATTCAATTGATATAATTTACTTATTACTTGGAAACATAACACGCATATTTAAATCAATGAATAATTCATTTTAAAACTCATTCGAGTTTCTTTTAGTATCCAGACGTGTCTTAGCGGATAACTAAATACTTTTAATGTACATACAGTGATTCCTATTCGTATTCGTACAACGAAGCAAAATGTACAATTTGATATTTTTCTTAATTTTAGGGTTTTTACAAAATTGGTTATTTATCATTAAAATTAAATCAAAACAAGGAAAAAAACGATTTGTTTTTGGAACTATTCAAGAAAAACAAAAACATGTTAAAAAAAATGCTCACAGTCAGATTCGAACAGTTATATAAAGGCACCAAAATTCTTGGAAATAAATTATGCAATGTTTGTTTTGATAATTGTTAATAACTTTTCTTAGTTTCGATCAATAACTAAAAGTGTTTGAATACATAATTATTATTGCGTTTTAACAAAATATTACTTTTAACTAAACTTTGGACAGGAAATCAAAAGAAACTTCAACAGAGCTACGGAAATTGGTTGTTGTCTATTATAAAAATGGCAAATCGCTTTCAAAGATAAGTACTTTAGTGGAAAGGAGTTGTTCTAAAATTCTGTATATTATAAAACGTTTTACCGATGAAAATAGAATACGACATAAATAAGCCATAAAATTTAAATATAGAGCTATTAAGCAAACGTGATAAACGCATTATTCACCGAAAAATTAAAAATAACCTCAAAACAAATACTCCTAAGCTAGTAGAAATACGAGTAGTAAAAACACAACTTTCAAAATCTAAGGCCAGAAACAGTTCGATGGACTATTAGACCTTTTCATAATAAAAAAAAAAAATTAAGCTCTTAGAATTTGCAAGTCAGCACAAAAAACAAGATTTTAAGTTTTAAAAGCTCGTAACTTTTACCAACGAAAGTAAATTTAATGTTTTTGGTCCTGAAGATAGACAAATTGTTTGAAGAAAACCTAATTCAGAACTTTTGTCTATAAATCTATAACCAACTGTAATAAAACATGGTCGAGGTTCAGTGATGGTGTGGGGGTGTTTTCAACTCCTTGGATGTTGGCTATAATAGAAGGTTATTATGAATCTAGATAAATATATTAATAAATTAAAGATAAATTTTAAAGAAAGTGCTGACCGTTCAAGAATCAAAGAAAACTTTAAATTTTATTTAGGTAACGATCCCAAGCGTACTGCTTATAAAACCCGATCACGGTTACTTTATAATTTTTCGAAAGTTGTATAGACACCTCCCCAGTGTCCGGATATTGGTCCAATTCAAAATTCATGGTGAGAATTAGACAACCGAGTTCGAAAACATCAAATAACGAGTGTAGACATGTTGAAAACCAAATTAGTGGAAGAATGGGCTCAAATTTCCGCTTACATCACAAAAAAACTTGTTGAATCAATACCAAACCAATTAAAAGATGTCACTCGGAGTAAGGACTATGCAACAAAGTACTAGACTTAAGATTAGATTAAGTTCCTGCTTTTAATAATATAAGTAATGTAATGCTGTACGAATACGTCTATGACTTGAATTTGTTCAACGAATTTTTAAAAATATTCTTTTTTAACAATTTTGTTTGTTAAATGTAATTTAATTTTTATTTTTGTTTACCATTATTATTAACTAATAAAGCTGGATTAAAATATTTACAAAACATACTTCACATTTTTTGTTTCATTAAATACAATTTAAATATGATTGCATCACGAATACGAATGGGAGTCACTGTATGTATTTTTAAAAGTTTTGAATTTAATTGAAAATTGAGGACTATGAACGAATATTATTAGCATTTCTTGTAGGCTCTTATTATGATCGGCGACGCGAATGAAATTTTTGGTGAATATGAACTTTTGATTTCATGGTTGGCGAATTCACTTAAATTTTAGGCGAATGAACTAAAAAATCTGTCGAATGAAAATTCTGTGTGACAAACTTGGCGGATCAAACCAAAAAACAAATTAATACATAAATGTTTTTTTATTGGATATTATAGCATATATAGGGATATAATGGCAAAATCTAAAATAATTGTAAAGTAAGTTCATAAAATTCTACAAATTATTGTAAAAAGTATTGATTGTTTAATATTAATTTAAGCGTGAAAAAAACGACTCCGTAAGTGCCAAAGGGTGGAAAAGTTGTTTTTGCAAAAAATGCAAAATGTACATATATGAGGTAGCTTATTATTTGCGGTAGGTTTTCTGATGTGTCGCGGTAGTACATTTTGGATCTGGCGAATGAAAGCATTCGCGGATCATAATTTAAAATATCATTCGATTAAGCGAATGGCTTATCCTCTCCACAAAAGGTATTAATAACCATTTGCTTACAACTGTACAGAAAATCAGCAAATTTGGATTTTCAATTTGGCAATAAATCATTGGAAAACCTTGAATGATGGTATTAAAAAATAAAAAGTTTTCAAAAATCAATTTGTTAAAAATTGACATCAAAACAGATCTTGCTCTTTAGATTAGCCATTTCTTAAATTATTATATAAAAATATCTCAACGACATTTTCTAAAAAAATTCCTGCGCAACATACAATACAATTTTTTTAAAAATATTTTTGAACAAACAGTTTCATTACATTCTTTCAGTTTTTTATTTTTGAAACATCGAAAACAATTTTTTTACGGCATTACAAAATATTTGAAAATGCCAAATCACTTGGCATACCTTTATAATATCATATTTATATGATTCAAAAGATCATGTTTATAATGATCCGAAAGCTAAGTTAAACATTAAAGCTCTGAATGAAGTATAAGATCTTTCATTAGAATGTGACGAATTACTTTCCTTTTTTTTTAAAAAAAAGTTTTCATGAATTATTGCATGTTGATTCTAAAAACATTGAAAAAGATTTGGAAACTTACAGGTATCATATGAAGAGAATATACATAGGTTGTATGCGCAAGAGTGAGGGAATTTAATAATAAAAACAATGGCTTTTGTAACGAAGAGGTAGTTCCAAGTAGTGGGTTCATTCTTCGTGACGCGTTCTTTACTCCTCTGTATCATGTTGACGAAACTTAATCATAAAAATATAAAGAGCAAACTTTCTTAAGATTAATTATTGTCTCTCTACTTATGATTTTTCTTCAGTATAGAGGATGTGTCGTATCTAAGAACGTTGCTATATATCACTGTTTAGGACTCAATAGGTATATAGACTCCCATCTCGACTAACTTTTTATTGCTTTTTTAAATTTTCAACTCCGTGTCTGTGCAGATGAAAATCTCAGGGCTTTTTCATGAACGAATTGAATGAAACGAAACTCAGGGCTTGGAGGAGAGAGGATCGAAGTCAATATTTCTGGGTGATCGTTAAGCTTTTTTTCTTCGCCCAATCCATGAAATTTAAAATTTTTTATGAAATTACTATTAAAGCGATTTTGCAAAATAAATTGAAGCTGTTTCCAGCATAAACAATGGTATATAGCATTCCACTTAGATACGACACACCCTGATACTACTGACATTGAGCTAACGACGAATAAGTTTCTGAGCTCCAAAAATAAGAAAAAAAAGATAAATTTTCAATCTGCTTAAAATTTATGAACTCATACAGTAATTATTTCCTATACAGTAAGTATTTCCATTTTTTGGATTGTATTTTGTTTAGTTGAGATTATATTTTATTGTTGTTGTATTTTTCTGCGTTATTTGCTAAAAAAGTAATCTCATAAACTTGGCCCATACTGACATCAGCTCTAAAACTTTTTTTTCTGATATTACAATGGAAAAGATATCGATAACTTAGGATCACTTGCATACCCAGGGTAGGAAACAGACAGATATAGCAAATACACATTTCAGCAAAAGGTTGAGATCATGTTGGTAGATCTTACTTGGATCTGAAAATGTAATGCATTTTTGTAACAATGATACAAAAGGTGGATCGTTTTTCTGTAAGGAACTCTGAAAAATCTACTCTCATATTGCACGAGAATTTTACTGTTAATTATCAGAATTCGACATAACATAAAATTTAATTGAATTTTTGAAAATAAAAGTGAAGGTAGAAAAATCAATATGAGTTCATATTTCAATTCTTTTGAATGAATTTTGAAGGTTTACTATTAAGTTTCAAACATTAATTTTCATGTATGCAGTAGAATTAAGTTTTAAGATCTGCCAAGATGAAATCAACCAAGCTTTTACTCTCCTACCTCTCGATGTTATTATCTTGAAGCTAATATTGTTAGATTTTTTAAATACTCTAACTGGCTTTCGAACCTCACGAACAGAACTTACAAAATGCTTTTCAGGCATCAATATTTCAAGTGTTTATACCTAACCTTGGAATTCCTAAGAATAATCACTTGATCAACTGCTATTTATTATTTATTACGTTATTTTTACAACTTCTATCGACAAAATTATTAAAAAAGATAGCTCTGCGTAAGGATTTGTTAAACATTAGATTGAAAAATTTTATAATCTGTTTATACCTAAGTCTATATATCCTTTCCTTGTTAATTCGCATCTAGCATATGTGTCACATGGTTTGGTTACCATTCCATAACGCAAATGTTAACAGGATTTGAAGATTTTGGAAAAAAAACCTTCATAAACATTGCGTTCTACATCTTTGTGAGTAAAAATTGGTTGAACTTTTTCTGAATTGAAAAGCGGGGAGTTCAGATTGAACTGAATTGATTGGCGGGAAGTATCTAGTCCATTATTCGTTTTTTATCTCATTAAACGTGCATTAATTTTAATGTATCTGTTAAGCAAAATTTTTAACACTAATCTCAGATATTATTGATTGGAAAAATTTCATCAAAAAATTCTTGTATCTGTTCTATTCCATCAAAATATTATGGAACATTTCTATTTTTTCATAATTTATAGGTTTACCGTATTATGATTGACTTTATGTTAATCTTTGTTTTGTTTTTGACAATCGCCTCAGATGTTTTAATCAAACATATATAAGCAGTTGCATTATACATATAATTATTAATATTCTTATACCTATGTATGTACAACTTAGTTGTAGAAAGTCAAGTATAAGAACTTATAATTTAATAACAGTTTTTTAGTTTTAATAAATTTAAAATAAAACAAAATAGTTTTGAGTTGAAAATACAACAAAATAAAATACGAAGAATGTAAAAAACTTTCTTGATTAATTTAAGATTATATACATATTTTAGCGCTTAAATATTTCGTTAAACTCAAACTATTCTCAAATTACAGGGAAAATTTTCAATTCATTCAGAAACTTTGAGACTAACTTTGAAAATAAATATCTTGAGAACTGCGCAAAAACATGAAAATACGCTCTATAAATTTTAATTCGTTTGAACTCATTCTATCACACTGTTTCCGGAGTACCTATCATATAGTCTCGGATAGCGTGTTTCTATAATTTAACATACATAAGTACCTTAATTATATTATAAATACAAATTGAGTTTACTTCAATTTTGTTACTGAATTCGAAACTCGTATTATGATTGATGTAAACAAATACATGTCAATGTTCCAAAAAAAATCTAAATAATTCTACATACCTGTTAAGGGGCTGCATTGTAAGGCCAGCCATGGCTGTGAGAGCTTCACATTCTTCGTTCTCAGCTTTGATAACCTTTACTGCAGACATACTAATTGTATGTGCTAAACGTCTTACGCAGGGCCAATGTGACATCTATATAATATTTTCGAAATTTTATTTGTTTGAAAAATATAATTTCTATTTAATAAAAATTAAAAATCTTTAGATCATTAAAACACAAGTTTGTACAAATTTAGAAATAAAACATTTATATTTTCAAGATTAATTTAGATTTTGTAATTTAAATCTTACATTAGGCTACGTTAGATTTAGAAAATTGGCCAAATACGACCAATTACGAATAAAATGCATCGTGAAGTCAAAATGATTTTAAACAAAAAATACGGCATATGTGGCCCATACGGGACAAAGTGGGAACACTGGACACATCGAAGACTAAACGATATATATGTTGGGAAGCATTCCATATTAGCCTCTACCAGTATTTTAATTTTTATTTTAAGAATCCGTTTTTATTTTTAATATTTTCGTAATGCCCGTGGTACAATATATGTACTTTAAATTGCAATAAATTAAAATATTGCTATTGTACTTCTCAAATAACATAACATAGAAGCAAATTAAAAAACATTATACGCTATTGTAAAAGACCATTTTTAAAACTGAAAGAGCAAAATTATACGAAAAGGATAAACAAAAAAAAATGGTCATTTTTTTCAGAGATGTTTTACGCTCTCTCTTAACTTTTGCATCATTTTTTCTATAGAGGTGTTAAAAGTCATTGGCAGACAACTCATTATTTTCATACTGCTCGAAAGTTACCATATGTTTTATGGAAGGTTTCCTTATTGATTTCACCACTTTATTTGGGGGCACCCAAATCCCAATGAACACTATTGCGTACATACCAGGGAGCACCCGCCATATTACGAAGCACGCTATTCTGGAAAGCTTATATGCTGCGCATAGCAAAGCTCAGGACTGTATACCATATGCTCATTTAGATTTTATTTTTCGGTTACACATCAACACTTTGTTTTACGTAACCAATTTCGGCTCACGATTTTGGTACCAAAGGATTCCTTTACATTAGGTCCCATTGCCAATATTGCTGTATCGTCGGCAAATGTAGTTACATTCCCCAACTCTGCCAAATCACTTGTATAAAGTAAAGTTCTTTCAGATAAAAAAGATTCAAGTATCCCCTCGAATTGTGAGGGTATCTCTTAAGTTTAAATAAAAAGCCTTTAAGTCAAACTTCATCAAACGTCTGAGTCAGAAATATTGTCGAACATATTTGCCTTTCTAAAGCTTTTACTACAATATTTGTTATATTATGCCGTTGGTTGGCTGCTTCATTCTAAGAACAAACTGATATTTTGGAATCAATTTCAACCATTGATTATGCCTCATTTTTTTATATCTGATTTTTCTGTCATAATAAACTTCCTCTACTTTACAAACTGTATAGGAACATAGCTTAGATTTATTGCTGCATTCATAAATTTTTAAAAATGTCAATGCCTTTCTCGGCAAATCTCCCATTTTCTCAGCATTAATAAGATCAAAACCAAGAGCCTCATTCAATTCAAGCGATTTTACTGTTTGGCAAATATTCGTAAGTAGATCTATAGAGCTTTCATCTATTCATCTATAAAAAAAAAACGCCTTCGTCTTCCACTCGGAATTTTTTTTTTCCGCATTTAAATTTAAATTTCTAATAATAGGCAAATTTAAATGTCCTACGCGATCTCGGATCCTGTTAACTAGCCTGGGTTTAACCTGTTTTTTAATCACATGCTGACCAAGGTCTACTATGAAAGCAGAGTGATCCGAATTTAAACCAACACTATATTTCAAATTAAAAAAATTTTATAGAAATCGCCTTAGGTTTAAAAAAGTCAATAAGATCCGGGTTTTGTTCGCAACTGCAGGCTAGTAAGTCGAATTTCAGCAGAATTGTAGGAGATCCTTAAAAATATCTCTCTTTACCTTTTATTAAATCTCGGTGGACAATATACTGAGTCAGCATATATAGAGTTTACTCAATATACAAACTCAATTTTAATAGTTCAGCCTCGCCCGTTTATTGGACTCTTAATTAAAATAGCACAACCTCCTCTTGAATGATTTCTAACCCCTAAATTTTATTAATTAACAATTTCTTATTTTTGCAATTGATTTTGTCCATTTCCTTACTTTTCATACCTGGCATTCTTAGACCGTTTCCTTTTATTATTTTCTGTAATTTGAACAGCTTTTTTTTATTTCCAGAAGTATGCCATTTTAATTCAGCCTTATTAGCAACTTAAGTTAGCAACTTCTACGTTCATGTTTATTATGTTCACACAAAAAATTCCGCAGAGGGAATAATATTGTTACTCTTTGGTTTACGCCTACATCAACTTTTTATGTTGCAGCATATAAATTATATTCTATGCCGGCTTCACAAATTTTCTGCTACTCTCTGCCCATATAGTATAATATGTCCATGTAATGGATATAAAATAAATATATTTTATACATATTATACATATTATGTATTCTAGTAAAAGCGAAAAAACAATAATCGATTGCGTTTCTAGTATTAGATTTTTTATGCTTTATATAATTATTATTTTAAGGAAAATACGATTAACATATTAAAAAAAGCAGACAGAGAAAGTTGGAAACTCTGAAATTAATTTATAAGAACATACTAACTGTACTCAGTCATCTACATACAACCAAATACATACATAAGATACTCTACATTCATATTGTTCTACAGTCTAATGCCAAATAAAAATTTTGCATGCGAACTGTTTGGGATAATACTTTTTGAACAAAAATGAGAGAAAATTATGACATTCACATTTTCTCAATGTTTAAAGATTTTTCAAGGCCTGTAAAGTAAAATTTAGTGTTTTAAAAACTTTTAAAATCTTACAGCTGTCGAAACATAATATTTTCTTGGTTATGTCAGATGGTTTTATTTTTGAAAAAAAAAATTTTTTGGCAAATCTTTTCAAATAAAAATAAAATAAAACAACCAAAATGGGTTCACAAATGGTTTTTTCAAAGTTTCACACTATTATAATCCTAAATCAAAATTTTCGATTTTTAGTATAACCAAAAAATATTTGTTTATGTCTGATAAATACCTTGAAATTTGACATTTATTACCTATTTTGTAAAGTTTTTAAAAGTTTTTTCAAGTTTTCTGTGTGGTTTATTTTTTTTAAGTGAAAATTTTTTTCTTTTTGAGAGAAATTTCGTCATTGTTTGTCTTTTGAAAGTGTTTGCAAGTTTTACCCCAGACCTAGTATTTAATAGCAACATTTTACAATGTTAACATTTTTTTTAAACCATCTTCACTAAATTTTCTCTATTTAATGTTTTAGGAAAAAAATAACAAAAACAAAAATTTTCGTAATAAATATTACAATATCTGTAGTTTTTGAAACAAAATCAATAGATAATCATTTTGTTGCTCTACAGCTTTGTTATTATAAAATTTGTAAAAATTTTGTATTAGAAAAAGAAAACACATTTGCGTTGCAAACAGAAATATTCCACCGCCGTCCCCCCAGCCCTGAAGATAGAAAACTGAAATTTCGTAAGTAAATAAACTTTTACTAGAAACCTATTTCCGTTGAAAAAAAAATTTATCTATTTCCCTCCCTCTTAAAATTACAGCTTGGCAAAACCCTAAATAAACCGCAAAACCTTAAATATCAAAAAATTCGGAAAACCCTAATTATCATATTTGAACTTAAAAAAATCAAATAGTCGTTAAAATTTATCATTATCTAAGATTCGTATCTGTTTACAAAAAACGTTAAAAATCACTCGATTAAAGTATACTTTTCAATTACTCACCTGAATTGCTATTGTTTTCTGTAACGTACAAATAGCGTTTTGACAAGGGGGTCGGGATAATTCTTCTTCTGAAATTTTTGTTAAATCATCCCCAAGTAAAGCTCGAACACATTCTTGAGCGGAATCACATATTGCTGGTAAATCGTAACCACCTTCTAACGCTAGTACAATCTTACCATTTGCAAGCTGCATCAATTCTCGTGTCATATATCCAAAACAAGCTGGTGATACTAAGTAACCCCCTAAGGGTGCCGGATGTCCAGCTGCTGCGTCAAAACCTGCTGATACTAAAACAATATCAGGACTGAATTCTCTTGCAATAGGCATGACCAAAGTTCGAAATGCGGCCAAATATTCGGCATCTCCCAAGGGTGGATCCAGACCTCCGGACCACGAAATATTGACATTATAACCGAGACCAGAACCAGTTCCACACTACAATTTTAAAGGTATTTGACAATAGCAAATACAGTATTTACATTGATTATGTTATATAACTAGTTAAATTTATGAATTTACCTCAGCTGGGCCACCGGTACCAGGAAAAAAATTGCCATCATCATGTCTATGTATTGACATGTACAAGACATTGGGACAATCATAAAATGCTTGTTGTGTTCCATTGCCATGGTGCACATCCTTGAAATTCGAAGTTTAAAAATTAAAAATATTTTTTAAAGCGAGTTTATAATACATACCCAGTCAAAAATCAAAATTTTTTCCACTAATGGCATTTTTTGTCTCAAAAGTTTAGCCGCAATTGCTACTGAATTGAAAAAACAAAATCCCATGGCAACATTTGCTTCTGCGTGATGTCCTGGCGGCCTAACTACAGCGAAACCATTTTTTATATCACCTTTGCTAGTTTTAAATGCTAAATCAATCACACAACCTGCCGCGATTCTAGCAGCAGAAGCCGTGTGATGTTCATTCCAAGTTGTATCTAAGTCCACACCCACACCGCCACAAGATAATCTTACAAAATTAACAGACGTACTAGTTTCATTTTTGTGCCGACTAATTTGACTCGATCCAAAGAGCAAAGCGTGTTCCTCAGTGTGAACTGTCTGGATTTCTTCTTGTGTTGCTTTTCTTGAACGTAGTTTATCACATCTCGCTGCTAAGCCAGTTTCTATTAATCGCGCCCAAATAGATTGTAGTCTCCCACTATGTTCTGGATGGGAAGCATTATTGCCGCAAATGCAGGCGTGCTTAAGCATTAAATTATCAAAACCCAAACCTGTTTTTGAATTATGAGAATTTCCTGCCAACTTTTTTTTATGGGATAAAGATAAGTTTACAGGTGGGATATGTTCAACTGAATTAGAAGCACCTGAACTATAAAACTGAACTAAATTTGATGATAAAGACTGTTTAGTATCTGGTACATGTGTACCGTATCCATGTGGGCCTAAATGCACAAGAGGACTGGACAGAGTTCTTGACAACGGACGGATCATGTTTCGGGCCATCGCGTCTTCCATTGATCGCAAATATAATAGTTCACGCTGGTGTTGCAAATACTCTTGATCACGGGTGAGTTTCGGGATGATTCCCGCTGATACCGTTATGTTTAACTGCTGATAATTTTCATGTTTGCTAAGGTTACGGCATGATGATGATACAGAATGTTGTTTTTGAAGATGATCTATACCAGTGGATGTTATTCGTTGAGAAGGTGTATTTTGTAACTCAGAACTGCTAGCAAAAACTTCTTTAAATGACTCTTTCCTCTCTGTCAAATCGACTATTTCGGCAGCCTCCGCCTTAAATTTTTTATCAGAAACTCCGCTGCGGGTTAAAACCGTTTGCCGAATTTTTTGCGTCAGTAGCATATGCTGTTGCTGTGAAGCTTGATGTTGTGCCTTAACAATTACACACAAATAATAAATATACTGTAAAACCGGCACAGTTTTTGGTAAAATCTTAAATAGATACTTACATTACTATTTTCGTAGTGAGTTTGTTGTACAATATTAGCTGTGTTACCACCTGTCAATATAGAATGTCCTAACGGTAAAGGTGCAGATTGTGTACGACCTAAAGGACGATGAGCCTGTTTGTTTAGTCTAGCTTGTACGACCTGCGCATCCGTTAATAAATTATTAGAGCACACTGTTGACAAAGAACCTACACCTATATTATTAGTGGATTCACGTATTTGGGGAGTATATTCTGGAGTGATTGCTAAAGTTTGCGTTCCAGTGCTATTTTGATGATCTAGGGGCAAAATACCTGAATAAAATGTATTTGTGTGCATAGACGAAGCCCCTAACATTGGTGTTGGATGAACATTTACTACGGCCGCAGCAGCCAAAGCTGCTTGCTGATGCAAAGCATTTAAAATAGCTAGATTTGCTACCGGTGAGGGATGAGCATTCGATAGGTGAGGTCGACCCAAGGATATATTCGGCATTGAGGGAGAACTAAACAATGACAAATCATTAATATTACTACGTATACCACATTGGTATTGAGGATCTTCATTTTCCTCCTGAATAGGAGCACTAGTTGGCGAACCACGTGAACCCGTTGCAGTTGGCGGTGAGTCGGGACCAGAGTCCGCTGTACTGCTAGAACAATCTAAAATAGAGTATATGATCTGAAATTAATTCTGTAACTTAAAATTTTAATTATTTGGTTTTGATTAATTCAAAAAAATAAATACTATGTTTCAGGTAATTAATTTTCAAAAACATTTACTTTGTAAATATTTTTGTATAACTTATTATACTTTGAAACATATTAAAATTTTATAGTTCGTGGACGTACTTGTTAGGGTAGCATTTTGCTTTTGAAAGCGTCTGTGCGCTGCTTGTAGTAAACGTTCCTGCCTTCGGGTTGCTCCAGGTCCAATTCTTGCTTTCCTTTCTATTACACTTTGCTTTAATCGTATTTTCAATAAATTTGGTTCAGATGCTGTGTGAAAAATTTTTTAGATGTTTTTTAAGTAAATATCAATAATATGTAAAATTTTTTTATTTGAAATATTTTTAAATTTAATGTATTTAGTGAACTCATGATATTATGTATCACTTTATGGTCGAAGTGAATATAAGCTCTATTTAAAAGCAAAAATTTTTTAACTTTTATATAGATAAATAAGTTACGAATTCGATTACACACGTTGTTTCGCATAAGTAGCAAAAAAAATCAGGGATGATTCTCTGATCAATTTCTATCCAAAAATTATATGGATTGGTAAGGGGGCGGGAGTAGATGGAAGAAACCGTATTTCTCAATCTACAGCCTGTTAAAAGAAGGTACCAGAGTTTTTCACCATGTAAATAAATACTTATAACTTCAAAACCATGCGACATAGAATAACAATACGGGGCTGACTTCACAGGCGATTGATTGCTCTTTATTTTCAGCCTAAAAAAATAGCAACCATACAAAACAAATTTATCATATGGGGTTTAACCAGGTACTTTTCTTCATCCAAAACAAAAAGAATATTTCTTTATAAAAATTTTATAATTCAATGTCAGAGTCAAAAAAACTGTTAAAAATATTACAACAGCTAATAGTTATTTTTATTAAACTTAAGCATGGCTAGAACTATATTTATTGGAATATAATGAAACTATTTCATATGCACTTATTATTTCATAACCATATCAAATCAGGCAAGTTATCATCAGATTGGAATAGACAAAGAATCACCAAATCAGACTAGCCATTTATTTGCATTCATATTGAGTAAATGTTTTACAGACAAGTGATATGTTGCCGAATGAAAATTTACATTCTATGTCATAAAGTTATAGATACAGTAAATTTTATTCATCTATGCATACCTTTACATTACAAAAAATCAAGGCCTGGACCCTGCTTTTTTTGTGAATGTATTTGCTAAAAATTGCATATGTATTTTTGACGAGATGGCATTTCTGAAGAATCACTTTTTTATACCCTGCACTTCGTGAAGGGTATATTAACTTTGGTATGGAGTTTGTAACTACTTGAAGGAGTCATCTGCGGTATAGACATATATATATATTCTTGCTCAGCGTAAAATTCTGCGTTGATTTAGACATGTCCGTCCGTCCGTCCGTCCGCCCGATCGCACGATAATTCAAAAACGAATAATGCAAACGATACCAAACTTTCACAAGTGGCTTCTTTTGTGCCAAGGACGAACCCTATTGTTATTGGACCAATTCGGACAACGGGTTCGGGTAGCTGCCATACAGCTCAAAGAGTTTATTTTAATTATTTCAAGAACTAATAAAGGTACAAATATAAAATTTTGCATACATGTGTCCAATTATATTCTACATATGCTCTAAAAATTTTAATGAGATAGCTGCACCTGTACGGGTGGCTGCCATACAACTCCAAAAGCAAATTTTTTATATTCGGCAAAATAATAAAGTCAGATTCATGAAACTTGGCAGTCGTGTGTCCATTTACAGGTCAAAGATATTTCTGAAGTTTTGGTGGAATTGCTTGACAGGTTCGAGTGGCTCCCATACAAGTCCAAAATTTTTATTTTAAATATTTGGGAAAGTAATAAAGACAGATACATGAAACTTGGTAGTTGTGTGTTCAGTTATAGGACATATCCGTGAAGTTTCTATAGAATGGTTTCACAGGTTTGAGTAATTGCTATACAACAATGAAAGGTGCAGGGTATAATTCAATCGCTTCATACCGACTGAAACGTTTTTATTTGTTTGTTGTTTTTTTTTTTGGAAAAATTATGATTTTTACCTATTTTAATTGCAAGTTTTCTATACGTAAACTTGTAGAAGTTTTAAAGTTCCTGATACGGTAGTTTAGGTAGATCAGTGAATTAGATTTACTTACAATGTGAAAATATTTCCTAATAAAATAAAATCGCATATGTACATGCCTTGAAAGAATTTTATGAACTTTTAATATAAAAATAAAATCACATATGGAACAATTTTTATGAATTATGAAGCATGTAAATTCAATTGATATAGTATAGATATCAAAATTATATAGATATATATGTGATTCTATACGTAGTATGCATTTTTGGAGACATATCATAGCAAACTCGTTAATATTAAATGTACATTTTCTCAAATTTGAAAAAATACGCCAAAATCGACTAAATACTTTGAACAAAATTTACACTATTTTTACCGACCGTATTGTGCGTACGTTAAAGTTATACATACGTATTGGTTATGTGATGGCAACAAATTTAGCATATCGAGTTTTCGGTGGGAATACACTTCTCCATTGTAGGGAAGTGTAAGTAAACTATTTTTAGCAACTTGTCGGTCAAGTTCGGCTGAACCGATTTTAATGAAATTTTCTATGTAAGTCTATTTCGACCATGGCACGGATTGATCAACTTTTATTAGGCCTCGGGAATTTTTGACCATTTTAAAGAAAATAATCAACCGATTTGCTTGAAATTTCATTTATAAGATTCGACCGTCCGCGAAATCTCCTAACTTTTAGAAAAAATCAGGCGTTATTTAATATTTAATTTCTTCGTTCTAAAACAATTAACATATAAATTTTTTGGAAACATCAGGGCTCGAAAACTGATCTGAAAGAAGAAAAACGAGATCAAAAATTTGGAAAAAAAGAACTTTAGATAACAGTAAATTTGAACGGCCATTTTGTTTTTCTAAAGTTTAACTATAGTATACCGCGCTAAGGGAAGCAAGTCGCTGCCTTACTGCGTTTGAAAAATTTCAAAAATGCTTATGGTTTCATTGCAAAAAATATTTAAAAAATGCCATTTTTAGGGTTTTGGGGGGGGGGGGGGGGGGGTATAACTTCTAGAGGGGAGGAGATAGGTAAAAATTTTGTTCTACGGAAATAAGTTTCTAGTGAAGATCTATGTACGTATGAAATTTCAGCTTTCTATCTCCAAGGGTGTAGAAGTTTTGTAAACAAAAATAGTGTCCACGGACGGACGGACGGACGGACGGACAGAGTGAAACTAATAAGCACTTTTTTCAAAAAATTTTTTGGAAAAGTGCTAAAAATGATTGAGTTTTTACTTTTTCTAATTAAAAATTTGAAAAAACTGATCTTGTGGGAAATTTATTATGTTAAAAAGGGCCCTCTATAAATCCTATAAGAATACGTGTCAATTCGTCAGCAAACGAGAATGCAATCTTTAATTGTTCAACATATGGTTTCTTCGGAATCATCAAAAAAGTTGTACCAGATTGTACGATTTAGTCAAAATCGAAAAAGAAATTAAATTTCAATTTAATATTTAATACAATGAATCCTTTTTTTAACATACTGTATTATTTTGCATTTGAAAACTCAAAAAGTTTTATGAATTGTATTATCTAATACAATTCCTTACTTTAACAAAAATATTTTTTGTTTTAATTTATTTTAACTAAAAAAATTTTCTAATTTCAGCAGAAACAATACAAAAAAAATTTGAATATACTACTTAAATACTTATAAATAAATATTTAAATAGTCATTTTTAAGTAATAAGTTTTAAATATTCCTTATTACAGGTATACCTCCATTACTTTTAAAGTTGCAAGCAGTGCTGCTAATCGATGTTAGAAGATTTTAAAAACAAAGTTTATTCAACATTTTATCAATCTTAAAAACATAAATAGTTTCGGTATTTGGGAAACATCGATCGTATGGATAATTCTCCACCACTAATTTATGTATAATATAATTTTATGGGTTTATTATGGTTGGCTAACCACATATGGGTATAATCGGAAAGTAATAAAAAATGTTCATCAATGCGGCGTCGATTCAAAAAGAAGTTGCTGATGCTATACCGATGTAATGCGTTAAGCTTGGTGATGCAATAATATTTTGACATTTTTGGGCACTTTCTAAATCATATGTTTTTTGGGATGTTCTAAATCATATGCTTTTTGGAAAATGTTTTGTGTAGAAATATTAAAATTATTAACAAGTGAAAATTTATTAAAAAAATTTTTTAGTTTCAATTAGGTTTTGGAGATTTTAATATAATGGAACATTTAAAAATAATAAACTTTATTAGTTATTGAGTTAAAATAATAAATTATTTACTTGTCAGCTACCATTTAAAAAACTTTGCATGAATACAAAATAACAAAAAAAAATTTATTCACAGCTGATTATATATGACGCGCATACGATGCGTATTGTTTTACATTTGTGAACACAAAACTTTAAACTGTTACCGTATTAATGAATTTTCGTACAAGATTTTTACATGATTCCACTTATTGCATGAAACTACTTTGGAAACTACCCATCCTTTTAAAAGGACACCTCGGATCATGAGGACACCATCATATGGTAAAAGCAAAGAAAATATGTCCAAAGGCGACAAACAGAAAATTACCAATATCGGTGCAGTAAATGAAATAAAAGATCAAAAGGCTGATAATTGCCACTTAAATATAAAAATAAGTAAACTAGAAGCGCTTTGTACAGAATTAAAATGAAATCCAGTACCTCAGAGAGGAAAATAATAAGCTAAAATTGTAATCATGCAATGCAAATGCAATAAAAGAAATAAAAACGGAAAAAGTTACGACAAACAAAGTGGAATAATGTACAGACGAGGAGAACTTAACTGAGAAAGTTATCAAGAAGCAAAATAAGCCCATATTGATTAATAAATCCGCTGACTGGACTAGTTTTAAAAATAGGAAGAGAATAACCCAAGATGATTTGGATTCTCAGGTAGAGTATTTTAATAAAATCATACAAATTAAAAAAAATATTTCCAATATTATTAGCAATATGTTTAGATATTCTCTCTTCTTATTTAACTGGCAGATTATTAGAGTCAAACAGGAGGGGGACTTTTCCACATTTAGAAAAATAAGAGCAAGTGTGCCTCAGGGCAGTATTTTGGGTCCACTTCTATATCTACTCTTTACAAGAGACGTGTCTCATATAGAAAACACAATTGTGGGTACATATGCTGACGATACTGCAATTAT